CCCCCCCCCCCCCCCCCCCCCCCCCCCCCCCCCCCCCCCCCCCCCCCCCCCCCCCCCCCCCCCCCCCCCCCCCCCCCCCCCCCCCCCCCCCCCCCCCCCCCCCCCCCCCCCCCCCCCCCCCCCCCCCCCCCCCCCCCCCCCCCCCCCCCCCCCCCCCCCCCCCCCCCCCCCCCCCCCCCCCCCCCCCCCCCCCCCCCCCCCCCCCCCCCCCCCCCCCCCCCCCCCCCCCCCCCCCCCCCCCCCCCCCCCCCCCCCCCCCCCCCCCCCCCCCCCCCCCCCCCCCCCCCCCCCCCCCCCCCCCCCCCCCCCCCCCCCCCCCCCCCCCCCCCCCCCCCCCCCCCCCCCCCCCCCAGCCCTCACCTCCCCCCCCCCCCCCCCCCCTTTCATTTCGTGTGTACCATCAGTGTCATCAAAGTCCGCTCGATCGGCGCGGTCTGCTCGCTCCGATCCTCCCTTCCGTGACCTTGCTTCGTCATACTGCTGTTGCTACTGGAGAAAATGCCGCTGTCGTTGGTGTGTCTTTTATTTCGGTCATTTATTAGTCATTTGTCTTGCGAACGAAGGGGGTGGGGGGAGGGTTGCGTCTTTCGCTGGATGTGTTGAATTTTATAACTTTACATTGGACATTTTTTTTTTAATCATAGCATATTTTTTTTTATTTCTCTCTCTCTCTCTCTCTCTCTCTCTCTCTCTCTCTCTCTCTCTCTCTCTCTCTCTCTCTCTCTCTCTCTCTCTCTCTCTCTCTCTCTCTCTCTCCTTCCCTCATTCCCTCTTTCCTCCTCTCCTCTTGCCTCCGAATTTCCCCCACACGCACCGTCCGCGAAAAGGAAGGTAAAGAGGTTGCGTCCCGCGCCGCCGGGCTGACCCACTGCCCTTCATCCCCGCGCCTGGCACCTTCACTCTCCCGCCCGGCTTTCCACGCGATTATATGCATGCGTGCTGCCCCTCGCTCTTCTCTTCTTTTTCTGTATTGATGTTGGATGTTTTGTCAATCGCCTGCTGGTGAGCGCGATAGAAATCTTATTGCGATCTATTCCACTGCCTGTTCTTTGATGTGAGATTAATGTTCGTTCTTCTTTCACAGTCTCAGTCATACGACCAGAATGCGCTGGACTCCTCGGCCCTCCCAGTCGAGCACCGGGGAGGAGACAGCTATGGGCCCCCGCTGGCGGGCCCTCAGGTGGGCGGACCTCAGATCGGTGGGGTCCCCGGGGTGCCAAATGACCCCTGGCCCCTCACCCAGCCTGACATGCCGACCATCAAAAACCTGCAGGTGCGATTTTACTGAATAACAAGGAATTCTTTGAAGCTGTTTGGCATCGGTGTGGTCTAACATGGTGACATATTATTGATGCATGTAAGGAGTCATCGTATACCCAATGCCAGTCTATGAGATAAAGCTAATGGTTTGTTCTTGCATCTATTAACCATCAGGTTCAGTGCGAGAAGTCATTCATGCGAGTCTCAGTGGAGTTCGATCGCCCCTTCTACGGCATGATCTTCAGCAAAGGTTACTACAGGTACGTAGAGACGAGTGGGCATTGTGCTCGATAGCCTGCGCACTCTATTACGTTGATCCCCAAAGCAAGAACTTTCTCACCAACCTTTTGGTAATAATTGTAGCGATTCCCTCAAAATGAAGTAATTTGTCGCAGACCCTTTGGTGATATTTATGGCGACCCTTTAAAATGAAGGACATTATCATTGACTCCTTTGTAATACTTAAAGCTCTCTTAAGGGCTCTGTCACTGACCCTTTGGCATTACTTGCAGCGACCCCAACTGCGTGTACGTGCAGCCCGGAACAGGAAACCTGCAGACGCAGTTCAGCATCAACCTGAACAGCTGTGGAATGACCTCCTCGTCCAGCACAGCCAACTACGGCCAGCCAACTCCTTCGGGAACCTTCATCGAGAACACGATTATCATTCAGTACGACCCTCTTGTTCAGGAGGTAGGTTCTTCAGAGGCAACTCTCTGTATAATAACGTCGGATTATTTTTGGATGAATGAAAAGGTTCTGCACTGCCGAATGTCTGTTATTCTAATGACGATGCTCCTCGTAGGTCTGGGACGCCGCCAGGAAGCTCCGCTGCACCTGGTACGACTACTATGAGAAGTCCGTCACCTTCAGGCCCTTCCAGGTTGGTGCTCGATAAGATCTCTCGTTGCTCAGATTTGCCTTCGCTCTTGTTCACTGCGGTCGGCGAGGGAAGCGTGCTCATAACTGACAATGTCTCCGTTTCCAGGTGGACATGCTGAACGCCGTGACCGCCAACTTCCTGGGCGACAACCTGCAGTGCTGGATGCAGATCCAGGTGGGCAAGGGGCCCTGGTCCTCCGAGGTCTCCGGCATCGTCAAGATCGGCCAGACGATGACCATGGTGCTGGCCATCAAGGACGACGAGAACAAATTCGACATGATGGTTCGCAACTGCGTGGCTCATGACGGCAAGAGGGCACCCATCCAGCTGGTCGACGAGCGCGGCTGCGTCACGCGACCCAAGATCATGGGACGCTTCCAGAAGCTCAAGAACTTCGGCTCCTCCGCCTCCGTTGTGTCCTACGCCTACTTCCAGGCCTTCAAGTTCCCTGACAGCATGAACGTCCACTTCCAGTGCGTGATCCAGGTCTGCCGCTACAGCTGTCCCGAGCCGCAGTGCGACGGCGGGGCCCCCCCTCAGGCCCTCGGCTACCAGGCGGCAGGCAGCGAGCAGGTCCCCGTAGGGCTCCCCGACCCGCGCCGCCCTAACATCGACCTTTCGGGCAACGTCGCTCCCCCCCAGAGCGCCCAGCGCAAGTCCGGCGACAACGAGGGCATCCTGCTCGACTCGGACACCGCCGACGAGATCCCGGTGCCCGTCAGCATCCCCATCCAGGAGGAGCGCCTCAACTTCCCCGTCCGCAAGTACCCCAACGTCAACCGCCAGGGGACGCCCATGGACGTGGCCGGACGCCCGCGGTCCATCAACCTGGACGAGGACGAGGAGGACTTCGAGGAAGAGGAGGGAGAGGAGCGCGTGAGGCGGTCGGCCGTCCTGCACGTGTACCGCCGCGCTGCGCAGGAGATGACGGACGTGTCGACGGCGCGCGTGATCCAGGTGGTCGCCCCCGGGGACGTCGCCTTCAACCTGAACTCCGCCAATGAGACCGTGGTCGTATCGGAGCCGGTCGACGACGCCTCCAACATCTGCATGTCCGCCACCGGCTTCGCCGCGGGCCTGGTCATGCTGCTGCTGGTCCTCACCATCGCCTGCCTGGTCGCCTGCTTCCTGTACACGCGCGTGCGGACTTTCAACGCCAAGGGCGGTGTCACCACCTTCGTGCAGGGCTTTGACAACCCCGAGTTCGTGAAGGTGGCAGGTGGCAACTAAGCCGCTCGGTCACCTGAAACTCTGCACTGTGCCATAACGCCGCCCTGACGCCAGGAGTCAGTTGTTTCGCTGGTGCCCACGCGTTCCTCGTCATTGTTACTTCACTGTCAGCCACGGCGCTGACGCCTCGACCTTCGCCGTCGCGCCACACGGCCGGCTACGGCGATGGTCTCCACTAGGGTGGTGACGGCCTCTCCTACGTTCCCTCTCCTTGCCTCCCTCTCCGGATTGCTCCCCCAAGAAAGATACCTTCCACCAGAGCAGTGTGTCCGCACTTCGAAGGGTCAGTCTCCCCAACACCCGGCAGTCTCCAGGCCCTTGTCGCTTGCATTGCACACCCAGCAGCCACAGCTTTACTACAGTTACCAATCAATAACTAGGGCGCCTGTCACGGACAGTGTTAGCATCAGCCTGTTGGAAACCTGGAGGTCTTTTAACTCTAAAGACACCCTGCCCGTTCGTCACTCTGCTCTGGCTAAAACTTCTTTCGATCTTCCTACATTGTTATTGTTTTATATTTTTTGTGTATTTTTTTTCATTTGTTTCTCTTTTCTTTTTATGCTTAACAATTTAAGTTAGCAATATTATTAACTTATGGAATTAGCTGGTCTTATTCCACGTAACTTATGACCTATTTAAGAAACTTTTTTGCATTACAGCACACACTAATTTTCCTCGGATCAACATGTATTTTTTTTAACGAATTACCAGGAAAATTAGTGACGAGTGATTTACAATATTTTTCCCTCACATGACTAGATTTTAGTAGAGCCATATTTTCTACCATTTACGTACTGATTTTTTTTTTCGAGAGAGCACCAAATATTTAATTGGATGTTAAATCTGAAATACCGAGTGTAATTCTGTATGCATGAATTGCACTGTACTATTTGGCATTTGTACTGAGTATTAGTTAGTAGCGCGTGTGTGTGATATTTTAGTTATTTTCCTGTCTGTTTTCCTCACGTTTTGAAGTCAAAGAACCAAACTTCACTTAGATGTGGAGGCGAGTCCGACCTTCATTCTTTAATTAAGGTCATCTCACTTTGGGTATTTTTCAATATTTATTGTAAATATTTAATTATATTTATTAGTTCAATGTAATATTTATTTGTAAATCTGTAATAAAGTAATGAAAATATTTACGTGTTTTTCGTTTCCTGCTTCCTCATTCTCATAACAGTTTTCTTTTCTTTTTGAAAATGTAATATATGTGTGTGTGTGTGTGTGCCATACACACACACACACACACACACACGCACACACACACACACACACACGCACACACACACACACACACACACACACACACACACACACACACACACACACACACACACACACACACACACACACACACACACACACACACACACACATCTAAATATATATATATATATATATATTTATATATATATATATATATATATATATATATATATAATATGAATAATGTATCTCTATATACACGTGTGTATGTGTGTGTGTGTGTGTGTGTGTGTGTGTGTGTGTATATATTTTTAGACAGACGAATAGATAGATATAGATATGGATATAGAGCAATACAAAGATATAGATATAAAAAAGCAGACACAAGTCGGGCGCGACACAAGAGGCAAACACCATCGCAATCAGCTGATTTATTAAGCAGCAGCAACAGCATTTTCGTCGGGGATTAACAGTCGAAAGTAAATACATGTTTAAGATAATACTGGTGGATATGTCACAAGTAGCAGATATAATCTTGTATATTTGCAGAAAGGGAGAGAGAGAGAAAAAGAATATACCACAAGGTCTTACGGTTTCTGCTACAAAGAGCAGAAATATCTTTGAATATTAGCAAGAAGAAAACAGAAAAGGCTACAGAAGAATGTCACAAGATCCTACAATATATGCAACAAATGGCGCGCATATCCTTGTATATTGGAAGAAAACTGCTACATAAAGATAAGATACTGCAAATAGTCGGAATATCCTTGTAGAAAAAGAAAAGCAAAAAACTGCTACAGACTTCCACAAAATCCTGTAATTCGGCGAAATGTAGCGAAGACAGCGCCTTCCGCTCACCTGGACGCCGGGCGGGAGGCAGACGCGGAGGGCCCGACGAGAGCGCTGTCGAGCGACGAGCCGGCGGGGGCGCTGCTGGGGGTCAGGGATGCGCCGACGAAGGACGAGCCGGCGGTGGCGCTGCTGGGGGTCAGGGATGCGCCGACGAAGGACGAGCCGGCGGGGGCGCTCCCGGAGGAGTCTAGGTTGTCGCTGCTGAAGGAGGATGCCACATGAAGGCTGGAGAACGAGGAGGGCGTCTTTCCGCTCCTGAGAGACGAGCTGTAGAAGGCGCTGCCGGACGTCGATCCCGAGGAGAGGGTTTCGTCCTCGTAGGATAGCGACGGAGAGTTAGCAGCGACGCTCGAAGCTTGCTGGTTACTTCCAGAGGACGACTCCAAGGCACTGGAGGACGACAGAAGGTAATCCTTCTGTGAGGACGACTCCAAGGCATTGGAGGACGACCGATGGTAATCCATCTGTGAGGACGACTCCAAGGCATTGGACGACGACCGATGGTAATCCTTCTGTGAGGACGACTCCAAGGCATTGGACGACGATAAGAAGCCACTGCCGAGGACTGAACCGTAGGATTCGCCCTCGAGGGATGTCTCCACAGGACTCGAGTGTGACGTCATGAGACCACTGGACGATTTGAGGACGCTGCTCACGCCCGCAGAAGCCGAGGCGTGAGGGGCGGCGACGACGAGGGCGCCGGCGAAGGGGAGGAGGCGCCAGACCTGAGGACGAGAAGGAGCTTTGGAGAGCAGTCCTGCTGTGCTGCGGTCGCTCGCGCGGCTGACAACGAAATTGCACATTTAATCATGCAAAAACGAACGCACGACCCTGTCTATTTACCTATCCATCTGTGTACATATATCTGTTTATCTATCTACCTTTCAATCTATTTATTTATCTATCTGTTTTTCTCTACATTCATCTAGTTGTTTATCTCTCTGTCTACCTATCTATTTATCTATCTATAGTTTTCTGTCTGTCTGTCTCTTCTTCATATCACCTGGACAGACGCAGCAAGCATTGAGACAAGGACGTGGCTCGCGGCAAACATGGTGACTGTTGCTCCCTCGCAGTTTCAACGACCACTGGCTGTCCCCTGCTCGACCCGTGCTATAAAAGGTGACAACCCAGGGTC